GACATTTTGGAACAAATATATGCCTATAGATACGCGTTAGCATTTCCCTAATTTGTAAAACCATAAAGAGGACTTGGAAATGCAAAGCCCTAAGCCTGTCAATAAGCCAAACATCATGATATGTATGTGATAGAGAGAGATAGAGAGACAGAGACAGGGAGAGAGATAAGCAACAAGGAGAAAGAAAGGGCAGTAGTATAATAGTACAATGTAGATATATGTATTAGCATGGAAGCCACTCTTCATAGTGACAAGTTTACTAGTGAGTCATACAACTAAGAGTGAACTTCAGCTATATATTAAGCGCACAATTATAAGTAGATTACTGGCTTTTAAAGTCTACAAATACATATGTATCGGTTGATTTCTTCAGCTCTCCAGCTATTCTGAGATGATATCCTCTAATCCCTCATGTCATTAGCTAGCTACGCCGCAGGTGCTACGTCAGCTCCATCGTCGTCGTCGTCATCGTCCCCATCGTTTTCCTTATATGTAAATAGACAAGTCGCATCATGGTGATCATTGTTGATGAGCATCTTAGAAACACCTGCAGGCTTCTTGCCACTGACAACCACCATTGAGTTGTGTAGTAATGCGGCAGAAGGAAACTGCTTCTAACTTGGGCAAAGAGCGTTTTGTAGTTGAGTGAAATGAGACCACACCACGCAATTTATAACGGGTAAAAGTAGTACCACTGGGTCTGGCACTAAGTAAAGCAGGAAGGAGAGTGACATAGCAGGGCTATAGTCTCCATACATTCTTCTTAGTTGGCGGGGTAGGGTCCCACTCCCTCGCACATGAGCCATTCTCATGTAGGGTTGTTGCCCACTCGTGGAAGCAACAGGTCTACACACTCTCAACCTTCATTGCCACATGCAGCTCATCTACCTGGAAAAATTTGTATGATATGATCAACCCTTGAGTAGCAGATGGAGGCAGCAATTTTCAAACGACCGGCCCTCTCCCCAGTTTGTTTCAGGGTAAGGAGGAATAGAACCTTAGCCATGTGCAAATTAAATAAAGTGAGAATATTTAATCCTAAGAGGGTTCATCAAAGTCCAACTTACCTTGATTTTGGCTCTCCTGAATCGATGAAAGATACAAAAAAGTATAATTTTTCTAATGAAATCAGAATATTTTAGCTTGACATATAATAATTAACAATGACATCGTTCAAAATTTTGACTCAAATTATATTTTTCTTTGGCATATCTATTGAGAAGCATACAGGGATTTATTAATAGAAATAAACAATTAAAAAACGTCTCGGAAGATAGATAAAATCCCAAAGCCACCTTAACTGCAACAACAAAAGATGAATCCCAAGCTTAAACACAAATATCAGAAACAGCCGAAAGTCTGCAACCAAAAACAAACTAGCAACAATACTGGCTCTACAAGAACAGGCGTATGAAGCCTGAAACTACCCAGCAACAGCAAACAACATAGGCGTATGAAGCTTTTAACACAAGTATCAAACTTAGACATTGCCGCATTGCCATAGGGTCTTTGGCATATATAATAAAAACACATTCAGTCTTGGGTTACCATCTCTTAAATTTCATCTGTTTCATCTTAATATTTGTACTTGAAACATCTAATTAAATTAAATTTTAAATAAGTTAACAAAACTGTAATCAAGAAGCAAGGAAAATTCACATTGAGGGGAAATAAAGAGTACAACTAAAAAGTATTCTTTGATATATATATATATATATATATATTAATTATAGCTCTTCTAATTTTACAGAATTATAGTGTGTGTATTATTCATAAATGTAGGTAAAAGATGCTAATCTTAAATTTGTGCACCTATATTTTCTACGTTGATCTAGGCTTGGTTGCATTTTAAGTTGGGTACCTAGTGATTTCCTCATGACAGTTAGCAATATCAATTTTTTTTTTCTTTTGAGGAGATGATAATATATTACGAGTGTAAAACACCAGTGGAAATCTATAGATTACATTCACAATATTAGCTATATGTCTAAGCAAGCTTAGGCTATATTTAATATTTGCTATTGCGTTTGAAAAAGATGATATAATATTTAAAAAAGTTTTTAAATTATTTAAAAAATTTGAAATAAGTTCATATTTTTATTATTTTATTAAGTTCAATCAAATTCTTATAATTGTATTTTTAATCAAATAAGTTCTCATAAGTAACTATTGTTAGTTAAATGATCACTTATATTATTCTATATCACATAATATTGACATGTCATAATAGATGATTACGTGACATGATAGCATGATCACATGATATTTCATTCTCCATGTTAACCTCATATTGGGTGTAAAATAACAAGTGAAAATTTGACTAATGGTAGTTAATCCACCCTTAATTATAAGAACTTATTTAATTCAAAATAAAAGTATAAAGGTTTGATTAACATAAGATAATAACAAAGATTTATTTGAATTTTTTTAAATAGTTAAAAAGATTTTTTAAAATATTATGTTAAAAAATATTTAAGTTGAAAAACTTCGTTTGAAAACTATTATGAGAAAAAGTAGTAAAAAAAATATAACTTGAGATTTTGAGCGTTTGGTATGTTTTTTGAAAAGGTGGTATGAGAAATTAAAATGTTTTGAATAATATGATATTAAAGAGTAATAAGAATAAACTTTTTTGACACTATTTGAGTAAATTGTTAGAAATTAGCGTGTAACAAAACTAGGTTGCTGTGAATTTTTTAATTTTAAAAATTCATATAAAAATATAATTTTTTTCTTATAAAATATTCAACATTGTTTCAAACTAGATAACAAATTTTTTTTTAACAAATTAAAATAGAGTTCTTTTTTAAATAGGCCTCATGCATAAGACGTTTCTGACAATAGATATTTTTATAATTTTAACTGTTTTTAATCAAGAGAATTAAAATTTCAACAAAATTACTCTTAATAAAACCGACTCATTTATTTAGCTCCGCACCTCAACCCGAAACCTATTAACGAGTCAAGTATGTTTAAGTTTGCATCTCAAACTAACTCATATTCTTTGAGTTTTTCTCGTCAGACTATTTATCATTAGAGTATTTCTTATTAGAAAGAAAAACGTTTAAGCATTTTGAGCGTTTTGGAGTAGTTTTTGATACACGAAGAAAACTTTTGAGCGTTTTGAGAATTTTTAAGTATTTTGGAGTGATTTTTGATATATGAAGAAAAACTTTTGAACATTTTAAGCACTCTTTGTCAAGTAGGCATATTCGTTAATTATGTTGTTAAATAGAATATGGTGTATCATTTGAAGTTATTGATATTGTTAAATGGAAATAAGTAGTTTTGGTGGTTTTTGAGTATTGTATGACTATTTTTAGATATTACATGATTGATTATGGGTATTGCATGATTAGTTTTTAAATATTGTGTGACTAATTTTTAGATATTGTGTAACTGACTTTAGACATTACGTGACTAATTTTTAAGTATTGCGTGATTGGTTAATATGGCATTGCATGACTAGTTGGTAGGTATTACGTGACTTGCTAGTAAGGCATTGCGTGACTAGTTACTAAGATATTATGTGACTTAAGCATTACTTAAAAATCAATTACACAATGCCTATAACCAATAATGTAATATCTAAAAACCAATCACGCAATACTTAAAAACTAGTCTTACAATACTTAAAAATCAGTATAATCAATTTCAATTTTTCAACTTTGGAGTTCTATGAATAAACCAATAAACTCAAGAATCTAAAACACTTTTTTTTTTACTAAGCCATGAAAATGTGCATTTCATAAAAATAGGTTACAAAACTCTATAACCCTTCAAAGCAAGACAAAATATATCTTTATCGGGAGGGCCTTGCTCACTCCTCTTATACAAAAACAAAATATATTTCCTTTACAAAATATTCTCTGAACAATTTCTATTCAAAATCCCATAAAAAAATTTAAATCCCCAACAAACATGTTTAACAATCATCATAATCCCAAGCATAACAAAACCGTAAACCACCATAAAACTCACCAAACATATTTTAGTTATTCCTTCTCCCTGAGCCCATTATCTTAATCAATTTTATCCAACTAATCAACACAGGCATCTCCATCGTAGCACACGCTTTAAAGTAAGTTATCACCAAAAAGTATCCATTACCACATTCATCATGTTCCCTGTAATCAAAGTAAAATCGTTGTTTATTATCTTTGAAAACCCCAAGATCTACCATCCCAAAAAATAAAATAAATTAAGAAAAAGCTTGATGTCATTTCTACTGTTTGAATAGTGAGATAAACAGTATTTAACCAGAGAAAAATCAAGATTTAATTTTAAAATTTTATCTGTATGCGAAATAGAGAAAATTAAAATTATTTTAATTTATCTGAAATTGTTTAAAAGGTATTATTGTCAAATCATGTAAAAAATTAATAAAAAATAATTAAAATTATAAAAAAATATATTTTTAAATTAAACTTATAAAAAAAATTGTTTCTCGTAATTTTCTCATTAAAATATATGTAGCATTTGAACAAAGAGTTGTAGCAGCATCCTTTATCGATGCTTAATTAGGCCTTAAAAAAGCCCAAATGGTTGGCTTGGTCTAGCCATCCAAGGCCTAGACCTGTCCAATTGGGACCGGTAACAACGTTCGGCCCAATCCGACCTTGCAACCGCAGATGAAGCACCATCAAGGTAGACCAGCCCAACTATTGCCACCAATCCGGCTAAATAAAGAGGGGAGTGGGGAACTAAACACAAATGGAAAATGAAAAACAAAGTTTAACTTAACTTGTTAAAAGGCCTAATCCTAATTTTCAACATTAATAATAAAATAAAAAAATTATTTTACCATGCCAGATGACGAATATATCACTTTAACAGACGTTTATATCATGTCCAATTAATTTCTTTGATTGAACTATATATTATTAATATTACTAAATAATATGTAATACAATATAAGAGTGAATTACTAATTAAAGCTCAACATGTAAAAAAATTAGGACTCCAATCCCATTCTAATTAATCCTTCTTTATCTAAGACTCTAAGAACTGTTTACAATCTGAGTGGTTGGTTCCGAATCATGGACAGAAGCACGACAAAGTGGGCAATGCGTATCCTTAACCAGCCACTTATCTATGCAAAGCTTATGGTACATATGTTTGCATTTGGAAAGAACCCTACACTCATCTCCATCCTTCAACTCTCCCAAGCATATCGCACAATCGGTGCAGTTTGATTTAGTTCCTCCATCCTTGTAGATAACAATGGTCCCTGCCAAGACTAGTACTGCAGCTGCCTGCTGGCTCGCCGGTGGCTGTCTTTGCCTGGCCTGGTTATTGCGTGGTCTCCCGGTTTCAATATCTTGGGGAGGATGAGCTCGGAGACTTTCCCTTAAGCCTTTGTCGCAGCAAAACATGAAGGCAACTATTATCAGTACTGCTATTATCGTCACCCAGACTGCAAGTTGGAGGTCGCTCAATAGGGTTTGTGCGGATGACATGATTGAAGAGAAAGAATCCAGAGAGACTGTGCATGCACCTACTTCTGTTGTTCTATACACTGTATATGAGTTTCTTAATTTACGTCCTTTATATATATAATAACTTAATTAATCCTAATTCATGGCGGATTTGGTTAATTTTTTATCAGTACTGGAGGATACAATATTATTGATTCATATAAAAAATTACCGTTAACTCCAATTGAGCATGTCAAACAATTAAGCAGGCTAATGCGTTGCCACCAGCTTCTGCAAATCCTGGACATGGTTTTGAAGAGACGCCAATACATGTCATATATATTCTTGCTACTATCTGATGCTAAATGGAAGTCCAAATTTTTTATACTTGTTAAAATGTTACTGTAGATCTCGGAATCTTTACATTTATATGTACTATTAACAATTTTTTTGTGTAAAAAATACAGTAATAAAGTATTGAAATTAATATATATTTTATAAAATAGAATTGCTTTACATACTCTAACAAAAATTTAAGTTTAAGAATTATATCCTTTAATTTAGGATTCTATTGTTTTATTAATTTAATTTAATACTAAAATCTTTGTCAAACTAAATTATTAGAGAACCATAGATAACTAGGTAGATTAGAACTATTTAATAATCAGGTAAAAGTAAAAAAAAAAGAAAAAGAAACAAGCTTTTTAATGAATGGATTGTTTTAAGCTTCTTTGAATTTTACGTTAGAAGTCTTTATGAATTGAACCAAGTTGGATGTATCATACCTTTCATTTTTAAAGTTAAACATAAATTCAATTCATTTCATCCATTTAATTATTATTTTATATTCATGTTTTAAATATATTTTTACATAAAAATTATATAATATAAGATAATCGACCAAGTTGGATTTAAATTTCTAAGCTAATGCAACTCGAACCAGACCGAGCCCACAAGCTTGGTCGAGTAACTCGACTTGAGACACCTCTACTCCATAGCACCTCTTTTTTTTTTTTTCTTTTTTGCTACAATCTTAATTTTAAATGTAGTGCCTTAGACAGTTTTAAGAGACAATATTGTGAAAAACATAATCTTATTTGTTTGAATTGGAATGATCTTTCATAATGGACGTTGTAATCACATAATCATGTGATATTTTATATATATATATATTTATATTTATTGGGAATCATCAATGACTTGATGGAGATGGAGACTTAGTAAGTTGGCTTCGTCTAGCTTTCCAAGGCCTAGACATGGCCAACTAGGGCCGGAAATTAACAATGTCGGCCAAATCCAACCTAGCAGCCGCATATAAAGCACAGGTAAGCTAGACCAGTCTGACTATTGCCAGGAATCTCGCTTGTAGAGCTTCTTGTATGGAGGGGAACTAAATAAAAAGGTCAAAGAAAGAAGAGATACAAAACGAAAAAGAAAACCAGAGTTTTAAACTTTAACTTGTTAAAAGCCCTAATCCTGATTTTCAAAGTTAAAAATATGTTTACCATGACAGATGATGAATATATAACTTAACAGACGTTTATATCATGTTTAATTAATTGGTTTGATGGAACTATTGTTAATTAATAGTACTAAATACTAATAAAATATAAAAGTGAATTACTAATTAAAGCTCAATGGAATAAAATCAAACCTCTGTTTTAAACTTGTAGCAATTATATACTAGAAATATTAGGATTTCAATCCATCCTCCATCTGTGAACTGTCTACAATCTGAGTGGTTGGTTCCAAATCATGGAAAGAACCACGACAAAATGGGTAATGCCTGTCTTTAACTAGAGACGGATCTATGCAAATTTTATGGTATAGATGTTTGCATCTAGAAAGAACCCTACAATGATCTCCATCCTTCAACTCTTACAAGCATATCGCACAATGGGTACAGGTTGATTTAGTTTCTCCATTCTTGTAGATAACGATGGTCCCTCCCTGCCAAGATTGGTACTGCAGCTGCCCGTTGCTTCTCCGGTGGATGACTTTGCATGGCCTGATGAGGTAGTGGATTATTGCTTGGTCTCCCGGTTTCAATATTTTGGGAAGGATGGCGTAGACGTTTCCTGAAGTCTTTGTGGCAGCAAAACACAAAAGGTAAGTATTATGATCGTTGCAATTATCAACCCAGAGTGCAAGTTCGATGACACCCAAAGTTTTTGCGGAGGACATAGTTGAAGAGAAAAAATCGAGAGAGTGTGTGGCAACTGCATCCATCTACTTCTACATCGTTTTTTGAGTTTTTAAGGTCCTGTGTATAATCACAAGTAAATAATTCAAAACTGTGTAATAGAAAAGTAAAAGTAAATGGATGCAATGCTACACACTCTCGATTTTTTTTCTCTTCAACCATGTCAACAACACAAATTTTGGGCGTCATCGAACTTACTCGGGGGGTTGATTTGGTTGAGGGTACTACAAAAGGATCGGATGTGGTGAGAATGGTTGGTGTAAAAGATGAGGTTAGTGGAAGAGTTATAGTGCCTTTGGTCCGACAGGCTTATTGGGTGCTCACGATTGAGTGGACGTCGGGCTAGGAGGATTGGGGAGGGAGTCGGCGGGGGTAGTTTGTGCAGTGTTCCTGGATGGTGGCTCTCGAAGGATGTCGTTGTAGGGGATGGCAAGGTTAGGGTTCAGATAGGTGGAGGGGTGGTAAGGAAGATTAGATTGAAATGAGAGTTTTGACATTGTTTGCTGAGAGGAGGAGGGGGTTGGATGGAAGTGAGGTGGGCTGTGCTGGAAGCAAAAGAGGTTAGGTAGAAAGGTTGGAATGAGTGGTATTAGATAGGTAGGTAGAAAGGGAGGAATGGCATGATTTGGATTTTCCAAGTGTGGCTGTGGCATGGACGTGGGAGCTCCTCTGTGGGGAACTCCTATGGAGGTAAGCTAGCGGGACAAACCCTCGACAGGTTGCAGATGATCCAGGTGACGCCAGCGGTGGAGATTCATGCTGACATTGGCCATTTGAGGATTGAATGTCGCAAGAGTGCCGAGGGAGCTTTCGCTGGGCACTACTGGCCTTTGAATGCAGCGGTATGCTGGAAAGCCGGTGGAACATATCTTCCTGGTTGCAGGCCGCTTCGAATGAGGCCATCAGTGTAGGTACCGCTGTCAATGGGCATCCAAATGTGGCTGTTACAGATTGCTCAAGGAAGTAAGCTGCTTATACTTGTGAATGTTTTAGGTCATGGAATGGTGGGTCTCTCTCTCGATGGCTTGCTTGAGTTGTGAATGGTTTATGGCAATGGTGTTTTAATAATGGTTGCACCTTTTTGACTTTAGAGAATTGTTGGCAAAGGACTGGATACTTGATGGAATCCAGACTGGGTAGATACCCGATGCAGGGCATCGATGGGCTCGTGGAATCGGTATCTGTGGTGAATGGACTGTTTGTTGGCTTGTGAGTCTTTACGCAAGACTAGTTGGCTGCTGTGAAAGACGTGGACTTAAAAGAGTTTAAGCTTTGCTTGGTAAAGAACACAGAGAATGATAGTTTAATCATTTTGACTTGAAACACTGACAATTAGGCAAACTATATGCTTTTGTTTGGTGGTATACGACAGAGTTAGTGCCGAGTTATTGCAAATATGACCTCCGAGCAAAAATTTTAACATATTAATGAGAAATAATCCAAGCAACGGACCTTAACAAGATAATTCCAAGATCCAAAGTGATGTCACAAGAATAACATACCATATTTTCACAAATCATACCACAAACATATTCTACATATACCTGCTTTACTGGATCCCCAACACAATTAAGATATGCTAGAGAAACTCAGAAGATCTATTGAATGTCAACAAATGTACCTAATCATGCTTCTTCAACTTGAACTTTCCCTTGGGAATCTTGCTCAGAACACCAGTATCCAACTTCTTATAGTGATTCCGAAACTGGTCAAGGAAATTGTACACAAAGCTATCGATTTGCTCATCATACCTCTCGTAGAGGACTGGTAATGTATGGGCTGCAACAAAACCTGACAAGGAAAAGAAAACCTTCAAGGTCAAACACCAATGCACATAGAAACATATACATGGACATTTATCAGGAAGATAAAGGTTCCTTATGCGCTACAGAAAACAGCATCCTGGAAAAATTAAAGCATAGGTGTCTGGTTTGCTCCATACGATGGAAAAAAGATAAGCATCTCCAGATCCAAATGTATTGGTCATATGTGAAAGTGCATGCCATCATTTACATTACGATACCAAGAAAATAAAAATCCCTGGAAATTTTACTTGCCTAGCAGTAATATCCCACCAAACTGATCATACATCCAGCAAAGCACAATTTCAATAATGTTAAATGCCAAAATTGATTACACTAGCTCAAGGGCAAAACTGTTATCTGTTCCATTGCTTTATGGATCAAGTTTTCAAAATATCTAGTTTCAAAATATCTACATGGTTCCAGCATACAGTTAAAGAATCAAAGGAAGAAGGTAAAATACCACTCCTGTTCCAAACAGAATATTCCAAAACTATATCCTCTTGCCCTTGAGAATACCAACAATTCTTACTTTTTCTATATTTCATATTAATTTTTAATATATTATTACACTTTTTTATATTAGAAACTATCAAACACCAATAACATAACATCATTTTAATTTTACCATAAGAAACAAAAAAGTCAAAGAATTTTTCTAACGTGGACATTCAATTTTGGATTAAGTACTTCATTGCTCAAACAAAGCACAATTTAACCACTGAACTATCTCAAAATGTTCATTTAGGCCATTGAACTTTTATTTGGCAAGAGTAGCCATGAAACCATTATTTTCATCCAATTATGAAACAAAACTTGTTATGCTTGATGTGATCAAGTCTAACAATTGTTAAATGATGTAAATCTCAATTAAGAATATGATATGGTGTTTAATGTGGCAATGAGAAAGGAAGAAATGTTGACATAAGATTTTTTGAGTTCAACATTTTTAATAGTTTTCTAAAAGGGGCTACTCATTATTTGAATTAAGAGGCCTAGACAGACTGCTTTTCTTTCCCTTTTCATTCCAAACCTTTTTGCCTTTTAACAGTTTTCTGAAAGGGGCTACTCATTCCTTTTCCCTTTTTCCTTCCTTTTTTCCTGTAAATTTTTTTACTATTTGTAAATTCCTAGCAGCGGTACAACAGGTGTGATTGCTTATAACTACAATCCAGGACTTGGCACTAGAACAGCCTTGGCTGGCCAAATCCAGCCATACTGCCACCAGATCAGGTAGCAACAGGACAGAGTCCATCCAGCTTGACCTCGACATGCCCCTACAAGTCTAATCCAGGCCAGCCAGCATAGATCTAGGCTGCCACGAATGAAAGCAGCCTAGGCTAATCAGATCCAACCATTCTGGCACCGAATAAGCACCAGCAAGCCAGATTCACCCTAGCCAGGTCAAACCTAAACTGGTTGATGTCAGCAATCTTGCTAGTCTGCCGCTTGAAGAAAAAGGCAATCAAGAGAGAAAAGGAAAATGAAAGTAAAATGTAGCTAGCATGGGAACTTGTAACTCAAATATAGAGTTCGCTCATTTGAAGAAACTAGTAAAATTTTGAACTCAGAAAGGAAAAAGGTTTCCATGTCAACACTGTTTCTTTTTTCAATGGCCATATTAGATGCCAAGGGATACAGCTAACAGTACATTTACATAACTTAATGTCTGATGGGCTCGATTGCATGAATTGTCTGAAGTTTAGGATACCATTAGATAGAATAACTTGATTGAAACAAATAAAAGTTCAAAGGCTAGAATTCCCACTATGAAAAAGTTTAGTCACTAATTATGATTTATAATTTTTAACTTTTAAACTATAGAATAAATCTTGCAAATCTCAATTCCTACTTGAGAGAAAAAATTTATTTTGCATTGATGTTACTTGCTGGTTGGAGGACCATGACCAAGTATTGAGGCAACACTTATTTTAGGTAAAAATTTCAAAATAGGATGATGAATGCAACAAAGAGAAAGGGCTAGGGATTATATATGTATGCATCTAACAAACATGCTCATGTTGAGTCAACGAAGAAAATCAGCTAAAAATTAAACCCAAATAGATAATCAGTTTGTACTAGAAATCAAGACAAGGAGAACAACTAAATTAATCGGCACCAACAAACCAAAGGAGGGAGTTTGTTAATCTTTGCAGAAATCAACTTGATATCAACAGCACTGCAACTTCTTGTCACAGTTTTAGGGTCCCTTTCTTAACTTTCAATTACATGCAACCTATTTGTTCCACAAACAAACAAAATCTAGTCTGCTTAACAATGTACAGAGCACACGACCACAAATCATAGTACTACCAGGCCTTTTTTTTTTTTTCTTTTAATGGTGGATCTACATACGGTTATGCTGAGATAAAATGAGTAAGATTTCTTACCAATGTACAAAACAGTCAGAAAGTTGCACCAACTTCCTATAACAGCAGCAACCCACAAGCTTAACACAACCTGGAAACGTTTTGATCATTAATTATTTACTCAAACAAATCTAGTGTAACAGATGAAAGTTATTAGGAATGCAGATTGAGTGTAACATTCTCCCTCCACAAACTATGGAAGATTGTAAGCAAAGTTGACAATATACTTCTAAAGCTTAAAATATTGCAATTATTTTGTTTCTTTTGTATCATCCGAGCTGAAACTTGTTCAAAAAATATTACTTCATTTTATTTTCAAACTTATTTTAGGATTAAGTTGGCAAATTTGCAAGTGTTAATAATATTGTTATTGAGGACCTCTTATTGACATATTTCAATTTAAGATTTCAAATATCTACAATCAATTTTATATATATAAGACAACCAAGTTAAAGAAAGAGAGAAGAATGCCACAATAAATAGAATGCATAAAGAAATCAAACACAACTTTTCTTCCTCCATGCATTAAGGATACATGGCTAAACAGTTAGCTAAATATTTCTACAATTTATGCCAGAATTTTTAAAAGGTTCAAAGATCAGCAAGGACCATTACTTTGCAAACATAAGCTGTGAAAAAAAAAATACTAAAAAAATCTCAAGAGCAGGCCTACCACAAGAAATTGTTTCAAGTTTCCTCCACATGCAACATCCTGAAGAAACTGTAAACCTCGGTTCACCTCGGCACCAAGTGACCTACCAATGCTGACAAATAATTCTTCAGGCAGAAAAAGCCGTGGCACTTCAGAAGGTGACCTATTGCCATGAAGTAATTTATTACCAAAGAAAAATTGAACACTCATCAGCAGCACACAAGAGTACCAAACCTTAAAGAAACAACAAATAGTAAAACGTAAAGACCACATATAAGCATGCATCTTTGAGTTACCTGTTAAGTAAGCCTGAGGCATTTGACCAAACAAACTGAGCAAGCATGCCAAGAACCACTGCAAAGCATAACAGAGTCAGGAAATGGTAATTAAGCCATTCAAATAGAACCCATATTGCTGTTGCACCAGCTAAAACACTGGCTGAGATCTTCTTGTTCCTCCATAACAAAACATCAGCAGCTGCACAATTTGCAATAACATGTATCAGCACACACGTTTTATAGCAATTTCAAGAAAAGAGTAGAAGAGTCCTACATTTTCCACCCCCCAAAATATGGTGGACAGGCCTCTGGCGTCCAAAAAGCCGATTCAAGCTAGAAACAACTGAGTTTGATTTCTCTTCCTCAAAAAAGGACACAGATTTCTGCTTAGAAACACTATCAGCAATGGTCTCCACTAGATTGTTCAAAAGGTCCTCTGATGTTATTTTCTCAGGCATTGTTCTTGTGCTTCAAGAAAATAGACAAATTATTCACCAAGAATAAACTGAACAGCCCTGAAATCCCATCAATATAGTAACATCTAACAAATAATTTAATGTTCCCTTTCTAATAGTATATTTTGAATATACTTTTGGAAAAAGAGTTCAAACATTGAGGTTTGATAATTAAGTCCATTACCAGACAAAAAAAAGAAAAACACCTTTTGCTTTAGCATCTCAGTAGACACATAAAAACACTTAACTGGAATATGAGCAACAATTCCAAGTTATTACAGTTAGCTAGTTGAATCCCATGCCATATCCACAGTGAGATGTTTATAAGATCAAATCTTTTTCACTGCTTCAAGACAATGTGATTTTTTCTTTTTCTTTCCTCTGTTGTCCAAATATCATTTTTTGTCAAGAGTTGACAAATTTTATTGTCAAAAACTGCAACTACACCAATGATATAGTAGGAAGATACTTGGAACAGTTATAGCTTCACGAAACCCAATTCCAACACATGGTTGATCCTTTTGCAAGAGACCCATGGTTGCTAGTTGCTAAAGATAATATCTAAGCAGACCAAGGCACACCACATGTTGGTTGCACAATTATTATGTTTTGATTTATTTAGCTAAAGCCAAAGAAAAATACAGTTTGTAGGTAATAACTCACATCTCACATCACTAGTACAACAAGAAGTCTCTCTCTATTATTGATGAAAATTAAATGTTACATCCTATTCTTTTCCATCCGAGCTACTATTAGACACATGGCTTTTGGGTGTTAAATTTTAGAAATTGAAACCTATATCTATACCATATAATAACCATATTGATTTACAATTTAAACGGTTAGACTAGGTAGAAAGCCAATTTTCAAGATGCAGCTTCCATCAACCACAAAGAGGGTGTCCATGATCCTTTGTTTCCTTGAAAAGATCAGGCAAACAAATCATTGATGTTTTAATTTCTCAAATTCTAACAAATTATTGAGTTGTTTCATGATATCCTTTCTATTAAATACTTCTTTGTCATTTGTGTTTCACCTACACAGCATATGGCCAAGACTTTGCTTTTCTAAACGACAGTCTGCAGAGAAAAGCATAAGTGTTCCAAACACCCCAAATGCCTTCTACTTAAAGTTGCCTTCATTTTTCACAATATAGACTTCTTGTATAAACATATTACAGCACCTTTCTTAACTCTTTGTTTCAGAAACCAAAACGCAAACATAGCTAAGCCTCCAAAGCTTTGTTCTTACTCATTTAACCCTATTTTTGAACTGTAATTCCGTACATCAACTCTACCCATAAAAATTTTTTGAGCAAAAAAAAAAGAAAAGAAGGGTAGAAATAAAGCAAACACAAAATTAGCATGCTCAATTTCCAAGATCAAGAAAGGGCAGCAGCAAAGCCAACAACCCAACCAAAAACAAGAAAAATCAGTAAACAAAAAGAACCAACAAGAAGAACTGAAAAAAAAAAATACAACCCAGGAATTAAAAATAAGAATTTCACTGGAATCAAATATCAGAAAAAAAAAAACATGATCAATGAATTGCAATTCATGCAGAAACCAGCATATTTGTTAAAGAAAAAAAAAAGTAAAAGAGCACAAACCAGAAAGAGAGCTTGGTGATTTGTTTGAGGAGAGTGGGGTGACACTGACAAGAAACGGATGGAGGAATCAGATATTTATTTATTCCGCGTTTTTACTTTTACGTTAGTCTGAGTTTAACTTCGAAAATTAAAGACGTGGTTTCATTATTGGTTTCGTGACGGCCATTGCCTTGAAGGCCTGCTCTGACTCAGGGCTTGACGGGTTGTTGTTTATCCTATTCCTAGTCATTGAGAAATCTTTCACGTGAGATATGAGAACAATATTTAATTGAAAAATTATTTTTAAAAAAATTCAATTTTTTTTTTCAATTCTACCAAAAAAAGCCTTAATAACACAATAATTCCAATAATAATTTTCTTTTTAATATTTTCAAAATGTTTCCTTTTTATTTTTTATATATTTTTATTCATTTTCT